TGAATTGTATGTCAATAAAATCGGTGTCGCAGCATATTCACGGAGTGAATAATGATGAGTGGGGCGAAGCGCCCGTCAGTCCGTCTGTGTGTGCGTGTGTGCATGCATTCATTCTTTCATGCGTGCATCCGTCCACTCGTTTTGCCGCACTCGTCATCATTCCCCTCGTAGATATACTGTGATTTTTTTCTCGGATAATCGTGCGTTGCTTTAAATTTGAGTTGTCATCAATATGCTGAACTCCTTGGTTAGAAACTATTGAGAAGAAATTTGAATCGTTTCAATTTTATTTGAAATTATGTCAGGGAATGTTGGCTTAAATGTACCTTGTTACGTTCAGCCAGCCACTGCTACGAATACCCACCATAAACATAATCGATCCTTGGCACCCATATTTTTACGAACTAATGCTTACAAATAGAGTTATTTGCCCAGAACAGTTCACGAATGCAATTCACTGCCTCCTGAGATTTTTCGGCTGACAATTTTGCTAGGTCACTTGAATGTCATATACAGACATGTTACCACTGTTATCGTATGAATACACGTTTTTTTGCTGTTATGAATCACTTGCTGTTCCTTATGGCCCTCCTGCCTGCATCAAAAATGCTGGTCTGCAGTAAGTCTAAATAAATAAATAAATAAGAAATATTCAGCTCATACTTCTCGCACGCACCTCGGCAATTATCGAAAATGCACAACTGTTTTCTGATTCCGCTGCGAGCATTCACGTGAAATCACAAAGCTTCTCGATCATGCTTTTTGTGACTGTTAAGATTCATTTACGATAACGTTTGTTGGAGAAAAAAATGACTAGATGAATAGAGATGACACTAATTGGCGCTCGTTTTATAAGGGTATTTATTTTGTTCTTTGTGTTTTTGAGGGGCAATTAACTAACAGAATTATGAAGTAGATGTGGTTCATTGAAAGAAATAAAGAAATGCAGAGGCGCAAAGAGGACAAAATATAGCACAGTGATAGCAAGTGAGCAACTTTCTAGGAGACCGTGGCCGCAGTATAGTTTGGTCACGCCTGTATTAGCATGTCTTCCATTCCCTAATAAGAAACTACATTATCTTTTATACCAGTGTCACAATGGTTCTTCTGACCGGAATAAGTCAGTCCTGCGAAGATTTGTTAGTCGCTCTCGTCGCGCATATTATGATGGCATTCCGGGTGCCGAGTTTTTCCTCTCACAAGTAACCCAATCGCTTGTTTCTTTGACAAAAACGTGAAAACACAGCTCAAGTAATGATATTTTATGTGTCTGTTATTGTTGTAGATGAGGCACTGTTATCTACACTTAATCATATTGACAATGCTGAAAGGCCTTCTTCAGTTTGGAGACCACTGAGCAAAGCTACTTTCATGCCATGAAGATGAACACATGGCTGAACAATCCACCATTCACCCAGTCAATGCAATAATAGACGCTGTAGGTACCTGTGTCGCATACTGGTGCAAAAGCACGGAAAAAAATACGGACACAGATGGACGTCCCACAAGTAGAGCTACATCAGATGCAAACGTAAAGCATGTTATCATGCGGCAGAAAAACATCTGCATCGCAGAACTCGCCATAAAAACATTTATTTTATTAGCATGCCTCACTTATACGACCTTTGAAAGAAGCTAATCAGTTCTTAAATGGTTGCGTCAGTGTTACTATTTTATTATCACCAATAGAAAATTAGCACTACTGTGGCGCGTAAGCTGCCGCAAATAAACCACCTTCATTGAATTCTGCGGCGCGCCTGCAGCAGCGTCGGCAAAAAATGGCGCCGCGTGCCGCGCGTAGGGCAGGAGGGCGAGGAGAATCGATGATGAATCGCGCGCATGAAGGAGAGCACCGTTACTTTTCAAAATCAAAGGATTTTGGGTAAAAAAGTTACTAAAACACTGCCACTGCTGTCACCCGCCAGAGCATTAGCCGAGAAGTGGTGCGGTTGCCTCGTTCAATCCACTGCCCCCTTCTAGCACATTGTAATTGGACCGACATGGCGTCATTCCCACAACTGCGGCGGAGAGAATGCGGTGTGGCGTGTTGGCACGGAAACCCGGACGGACAGAGTTACACAGGCTTGGCAAAGAGCTACTTTCCAGTGAAAAGAGGCATATCGGCCCGCGAAGTGGCTGCAAGCCTAGGTAAGTCTTTCGGTAGCAACATTAAAGTGGCCCGCTTCAAGCTATAGGACAATACCGAAAACTATTGGACTGTAATAAAATTCGTCATTTATCTAGCTATCTTAATCCTGTCAAATAGGCTCATTTTAAACAAAATAAGTTTTATACCTCGTAGAAGCGTAATAAGCTTTTGAAGCTTATTTTCTTCTCTCTTGAGCAGGTTGATGGACTCGAGAATACATCACGACGTTCAGGGTGTGCCATGGAATGTCAAAAAAAGCACGGCATTGCAACATGCAGACCATTTTCTGCAGCAGCACGCGGGCGCTGCCCTGTTTGATCAAGTCAACATAACTGGCCTGCTCCCAGCCAGGTTCTCCAGCTACCCCAGCCAACGCATTCGGTGAGCGAAGTGGCCGTGGCTTTAAGCGCCAGTATTTCGGGTTAGTAGCCAACATGGCCTCACCCATGTGCACAAGACTGCCCGCTTCGACCCAAACTCACGCTTGGTACTCACCCACTGTCGCCACAGCAATAAATAACTGGTGATATCAGGAACCTCTTTATGGCATCTCACACTGGGCCCAAAACATCAGGTACGTTTTGTTTTTATTAGGGAAATTAGTTTTGCTTACTTAGTCAACTTTGCTAGGCCTACTTTCCGAGTATTTGAGAATGAATTTTAAAAATACTGTCAAGAGGCCGCCTGGTCGCTTGAGAGTATTATGAAATGCGTCGCGCATGAGGCTTTAAACGAGATACGTGCACTATCTCTGTTCCTCAGCAACAATGATCAGGATTAGTGCTAAGAAGAGAAATGTGGTAATTAACAGGAGATGTCTGTTCGACCACCATGTACAGTCCAGTGAAGCGACTGATGAATTTGTCGCATAGGCCAAGGACGCGTAGTGGAGTCCTAAAAGGAACTTCGTCACCAGGGGAAAAACTCACAAAACGGTGAGAAGAGTCGTAGCGAGATTTTCGAGTGTCCTGAGAAAGGCTGGTGTTAACACGGGCCTGGTGACGGCAGTTGCGAGACTAGATAAAAATTCTTCACAGAAAGGAGCTGTCGAGGAAGCAGGGGCTGAAAGGAAAGAGACATCCAGAGTGAAACTCGGTGAGCGACCATGGACGAGAAAAAATGGAGAAAAGCCGGTAGTGCGTTGACCAGCCGTATTATAGGCGAATGTCACGAAAGGTAGAATTGCATCCCAGTTCGTGTGGTTGGGGTGAGTGTGCCTGGCGATCATGTCCGATAGGATACGATGAAACCGTTCAGTCAATCCGTTGGTCTGTGGGTGGTAGCTAGAAGTGGTCTTGTGAACAGCGTTCGAGGCACGCAAAACTTGCTCAAGAATGGGAGAGAGAAAGACTTTGCCACGATTACTCAGGAGAATGCGTGGAGCTCCATGACGCAAAAAGATGTGGCGAAGAAAGAAATCGGCGAACTCAGTGGCAGTCCCAGATGGTTTAGAAGCTGTTTCTGCGTAGCGGGTAAGGTGGTCGACGGCCGTGACAATCCATCGATTCCCATTGGATGATATAGGAAGAGGGCCATAAAAGTCGATTCCAACGACTTCAAAAGGCGAGGCGGGACAAGGAAGAGGTTGCATTAAGCGAGCCGGAGCAGTTGTCGGTCGTTTTCTCCGTTGAAAATGGACACAGGGGGCGACGTACTTAGCGACGGCTGAAGAGAGGCCGGGCCAAAAACAACGACTTCGTATTTTGTCGTAAAAATACTGACGATCACATTGCTCTCAAAGCTTCAGGGCGTATATAAAGCAGATAAATACGTGCGTTGTGAATCTGAAGGCCACAAAGCGCCGGACGACGACGTGATATTAACGAGGCTGATTGAAACTGCGCCCACAAGTGCCGCCAGGTTAGCTTTTCTCGTGCGTCCATCTGCTTCGCTTTCCATATACCATAAAACAAATAAATACGTGGACGTCTTTCTGCGATGGCCTTCAGCGGCACTGCTCAAAATTGGCTTCGCGTGCTCTGCTCGGCGTCCCCATAGCATCTGCTTAGCTTTTGCTTCCGTGAGTGCAGACGATACGGGTACACCGAGCAGTCGGTGCGACAAGGATGACGGGCAGTGCTGCAAAATACCACAGCAGAACAACGGCCATGATAGGAAGATGACTACGGCGTTGCGGTGCCATCTAGCTATGAATGAACAAACCCACTGCGGAAAATCATCTATACGGCCAACCCTGGGATCTAACAGCCGTGGATGCACATGAAAAACATCAGCTACAGTGATCAGAGAATGATGTTGAACTTTACATAATATTTGATGTATCGAGATATCTAGTTTTGTTTTGAGTTGTTCTGCTTTGACAGCGAGCGCCACGCGTTTGGTTCAGCATTCTTAAAAAAAACGATAAAAATTAACCTTAGGTAGCATGAGCTGCAAGACAACGCCTACACGTTAAAAGGTTTTGTAAAGGACGCTTAGAAGAGTGCTTACGTACTCGTGTAGCAAGGGTAGTAGAACATTATTGTGCAAGCTTTCTAGGTGCCGAAAAAAGCAGGTGTAAGGCATGCCTATTTGCCATTTTTTCAACGCGGCACAAAAATTGTGGGAGGGCTGTCATGAATGGCACCACGTCTCCCTCTATTTTTTATCTGCTTAAGATTCTCAGCCACTGCTGTGTTACCTACCATAAGAATCCGACCGCAAAAAACAACTTTTATTAAGTAAGCAGGCTTGATTGAATTATGGTGCATAATCAATGAACCATACTTGGTCTGTCGTGCATTAATCATTCACTGCTGGTTTATAGCTGCAATTAAGCTTCAACCTTGTTGGAGACGCCACGAGCTGATGCGCGCAAAAAACACGAAGATGACGAAAATGCGGTGCTCACCTTAACGAAGCATTCGTTCAGGCTGAGGTTGTGGCGTATGGAGTTCTGCCACCCGCGTTGTTCCTTCTTGTAGTACGGAAAGCGTGCCATGATGGCGTTGTAGATACCACTCAGCGGAAGTTTTCCACCCGGAGCTTCCTTGAGCACCATGTCGATTAGAGCAACATACGAGTACGGGGGTTTGGTCGGCGGTGATGCTTTAGCCACAAGTTCTGGCGTCGAAGCTGCGCAAGTTGTTACGCACTGGTAGGGCTCAACCGGCGGCAGCTCAGTGGCAGCCGGACACACCGGCTGGTAAGCACCACCGAGCATTACCGTTGATCCGCTTCCTGCGCCGCCAATTGTCACCCCGAGGGTGTCAGCCTTCTCCGGCTCCCTGGTGACGGTAATAGTTTCCAGGTAGGGGTCGTCTAGGGCCGGCCTTGGCCTAAGCCATGCGTCGTTGAACAATGCGTCTGCATAGATGGGCATTTAAAGTTTTATTACCTACTTGTTATTGGTGACACGTTACGATCACTACGAACGGGTGCTTTCATCATCTTCCAGAAACACTACACATACTGACTTTCGAGAACACGTGCTTTTTACGGTGACTTGGCCGATCTGCGGAAAGTTTCCATAGATGCCCTGCATACACGGCTGAGTTTTCGCCTTGATTATGAATAACCTCCTAAAAGGGACAGTCATGCTTTCTTTAGTCAATGCAGAGCTTGAGTAAATTTTTGAAAGAGAGCACAAAGTGACAAAAAACGGGAAGACAAGAAAGAAAACGCATGATAGATAGATAGATAGATCGATAGATAGATAGATCGATAGTTAGATAGATGGATAGATAGATAGATGGATAGACAGACAGACAGACAGACAGACAGACAGACAAAGACAGACAGACAGACAGACAGACAGACAGACAGACAGACAGACAGACAGACAGATAGATAGATAGATAGATAGATAGATAGATAGATAGATAGATAGATAGATAGATAGATAGATAGATAGATAGATAGATAGATAGATAGATAGATAGATAGATAGATAGATAGATAGATAGATAGATAGATAGATAGAAAATTGGCAGATCTCATACACAGGGGAAATCAGTGATATGCGAAGCACAAATAAGATGGTCTATGTGTCAATTTTTACGAGGCGGACTTACATTGTGCTGTACTTCCATGACATAATTATCATTGTTCGATGGGTCATTTACCTTCGTCGTACACTCAGGTAACGTGATACCGAACTTTGTACATGTGGAGCTAGCGAAACGGTCACAAGCGCAACGTGATCGTGGCATGTAATCCTGTTCTTACTTAACTCGCATGTCATGATTATCATGATTGCACCAGCCATATACTTTTGACATCCATCAGCTTACGTGATACCAAATTTGGTATATGGGAAGCTAACGAAATGGCCGCGAGCGCATCATGAGCGTAGCATGTCTTCATGTTCTTCCTAGACACGCATGCCGTGATTACCATGTTTGTACCAGTCATAGACCTTTGCAATCCATTCACGTCCCATAATACCCAATTTCGTATATGTAGAGCAAGCGAAATGGCCGCGAGCACGCTGTGAGCGTGCTCGCAGTCATTCGTTGGAAAACGAAAAGAATTTTCGGAAAAGGAAAGAAATAAACGGGTGCAAACAAGCACTGCAAGAGAAGAGGAAGAAGTTGAAATACAGAAACAGTGTTTTGTCTGGTTCCTTAGCCCATCGACAGTTCCGTTTTACATCGTGGTGCCGAAACGCCTCGTGCGGACACGTCTTCTTCATCGCGGGTACCTTTGACCTTACCACATCGTGCTGCGGGTGGCGAAGACTGCAACGAATCGTTCCTGATCAGCGTAAATCGAGACCTCATCTACTTCAACAACGTTCCAAAGGATCGCATCAAAACCAAGTGCTCCGCTCGACGAGCACAGAACACGAAGCTTCTGCAATGAGCAAGGTCCCTGCTAACAGACCTTACCACTGACAAGCCCAAGCTCACAGGTGTCTATGACCATTTGTCTGCTAGCAAAGACGAGGTTTTGAAGGCTAATGATGCGCTCTAGGAGTACCTAGGGGACAAGGAGCTTGAAGCGAAGCATGTCGCGGCAGCAGAGTATAACGACAACGCTATATATAGGCACGCTCGCCGCGATTCGCTGCATGATGGACGGTTTGCGACACGGGGACAGTAGAGAAAAGGCTGCTCCGTAGAACGCAACCCCATCACCTCGTGATGCACCGACCAGAATAGACCGAAAACAGCCGAGCCTTGGCATGCGAACATTTAGAGGTGACATTCAGGAAAGGTTGGCTTCTGGGAGCAGTTCGAGCAAACAGTCGACCTCAACAACGCTTTGTCAACAACAACGAAGTTCTTCTATCTACGTCATTCTCTTGCGGGTGAAGGGGCCGCAGTGATATGTAGTTTTCCGGCTTCCTATGCCTGTTATAGAAATTCCATTGGGTTATTATAAGAACGCTTCAGAGATCTAGGGTGAATCGAGCAACACCACCTAACAGCGCTTCGCAATCTACCTTATCTTAACTTGGGAAGCAACGTTCGCAGCCCCAGGTGACTTTACGATGCTGTGCAACTGAATATCCGTTGTCTAACTGCGCGGAATTTTCCCACGCTCAGCTTTTCAGCTACGCTGATTGACATTTTAAAGAAAGCCCTGTCATACGACCCTATTTTGGCCAATACAAGTGGGAAACACAGCCAGACACTGAGAGAAAATGGGTCTGCTGTCATCGTCTTCGAGCCAGTTGTGGCAGCTGCTACGTCTGATGCTGAGTTAAATGAGCTGCTCACTTTAACCCATAATGAGCTAGAAAGTTGAGAGCAGTGCAAAATTTTTAATGACCGAGGGATCGAATACCATGCACAGAAAACTAGGGGCCGTATTCACCAAGCTTTTTGTTGGCTACGCTACATTATCTTGAGGGAGTGCAATAGCGAGGGTACGAACTTAACCTAATTGAAAATTAAGCGCGCGAAGAGGACATACCATAACCAATAAAGTCACAAGGAAAAAACGAAGTGTGTGCGATAATAGCACAGTAGAACGCAAAGCGTCTAGCATCGAGAGTATACAATGATAGCGAATGATTTGCTGCACCTCAGTTTGAGTTCTACAGGCGTCTGCTAAGCGCTTACGTGATGCTGCGTTGCAATGAACGTCTGGGTGCACTGTGCAAAGCTAAGTGCGCACGTTTCATCAACGACCGTAGGTAAAAAAGGAATTGCTCTATAGGCTTAAGCAATAATCAATGTACTCTCTCGCCAAGTACATGTGAACAACACTACAGGTACACCACACATATAAAACCACGCAAAAATTGATCCATGTATTGCTTGAAAATGTGTCCCTACTATCTTTCCCTCTTTAACGCGACCCGTTACCATACAATTTACTGCAACTGCGCTGCTACTCCACCAATCTGATGTTATAGACCAAAGTATAGTGCTGAACGTAAGGGTGTTTTGTAGCTATACGTGAAAAGTTGCCTTTCTTACAATGATCCCGTTACAAGACAAAGAATTTTTCTACAGAATTTGCGCCTGTGGACAAATTCTGCAGAAATATAAAACAGGAATGGTTAATCGAAATTGTGGGCGTGATTTCGCAGGTTTTATGCATCGCAGCATTTTGATAAAGCTGGAATGCGAGAACGCGCCCACGCTCACGCTTAGATAGGTGTCTACATAAAATGAGGGAACTCTTCGGTACTCTTCGGTAGGTGTTTCAGGGCTAATGCTTTTCACAAAACATGGTGAAGTTATTTCGTTCAGCGGTGTGAGTGAGTAAACAAAGCAAAAGACGTGTAGACGAGTTTCGAAGTGAAGAGACATTATCACACGCGCGAAAAGAACAAAAACAGAGAAAGAGAGAGAAACACTCTCCTTTCGTCTCCGCGAAAGCCTGAAATTCGTATCAAAGATATTAAAGAGAATTCAAGTTCTGGCCCAGCAGACGTCAGGGAAAGTTTCTGCAAAGCAGCGTCAGATGCTCGGAGAGCATAAAAAATTGTAGTACGCGTTTTATTGGAGCGACAGCCACACAGAAAGCGAGATAGAGTGTGACTGTCTTTGTGTATGTATTTATTTATTACAATACGCAGAGGCCTTTCGTCGTTACAGTGGGTGGGGAGTAAATACTAGCATCGCCATAATAATATACATGGGTAAGTAATCAATTACACAAAAAACTACAAAAAAGCAACGACCGCAAGAATATTTAGTGCAAAACACAAAAGCATATACACCACAGGATATAATAAGGACTATTTACAATACGTATCCTGCAGAGAGGAAGTAAATACATCAGGCGATATAACAGTGGCTGTGTCTTGAGGCAGCTTATTCCACTCACGAGTTGGTCGGGGAAAAAAGGCATCCTGAATTAGTAGTTCGTTCTGCATCTCATCTCATTATTGTAGGTATAATAAAGGCGAGGTGATACGTAAATAGGAATATGAAAATAATGATCCCGATTAATGCCAGTGTTACAATGAAATAAACTATCAAAAACTTTAGCCGTAAGCATTGTCTACGCTGCTGCCAAAACTTCCATCCAAGCCTTTCGTTTGCATTTGATACGCTAAATTCACGGGAATAATTGGCATAAACAAAGCTCACAGCTAGCTTTTGTATTCTTTAAGTCCTTTCAACGTCCTCCTGATGTCAGGGACCCTGAACGCAACAAGCGTCTTCAAGTATTGATCTTACACTGGTTTTATACAAGAGCTCTTTTATGGCAAGTGGCAAATTTTTTCGCATTTCTTCTAAGAAAGCCTAAAGCACTTGAAGCCTCGCTTGTAGCATACCCAATATGAAGACGCCAGAATAATTCTTCACTGTAGTTTACACCAAAATATTTGTGCTCGAACACTTTTGACGAGATGTGAGAATGAATGCTAAGTAGGAGATTTGTGAGTTATTGAGCTAAATCTTCCAAAAATAATGATAATGAAAACTGTATATTCATTTAGTAAAAGTGACACTAGTGACAGTGAATTCAGAATAGTTGGTTAGCATTGTAATGTGGCAATATATTTTATGTTTTATTTATATTTGGCAAAATATGAGAAAGTAGCCTAAGTTAGAGCCGGGAATCCCTACTTGATGACAGTACTGTACAACCTAAATAGTGCATCGTTACACAGCCACACTTCGTGGTTTACACCTTTTAGTAACGTGATCGAATCCCGGCTGCAGCGTGTGCATTTGCATTGGACGCGGAAATGTTGTAGGCCCGTGTGCTCAGTTGGGTTCACGTTGAAGAATCCCAGGTGGTCGAAATTTCCTGAGCTCTCCACTACGCGTCTCTCATATTCACATGGTGGTTTTGGGACGTTAAATTCACATATCAATCAATAAATCAACCTTTTAGTAACCTTGAGCGAACACATTCTAATTATTTTTTTCTACTTTTGACCAAGTTTCGCCGGACGT